ATATACAATGATAAATAATTATTTATAATTACTGTATTAAATTTAATTTTAAGTTTATTGTATATATGTACCTGTACACAGTTGCCAAACAACAGCATTTTGTATGCTCCATCAGTGGACAGGCTGCTTTTCCGTTGTCAGTGTTTTTAAATAATTTGATATTATCACAAACACTTTATTTAATGAGCCTAATATCAATATATATACACGCTAAAGATATTGAACGTATTTTATTACAAATGACTGACTGAAGCAACCACAAAGATGGTCCCAGATTCGTTCAATTGGAAAAGAACCAGGGGTGGTATTTTTATATATGTATTTTGGTACAGGTATGAGAATCTTAGCTCAAATATGATAATTTTAAATGGCAGATATGATAAATTGTATGTTCAAGTCTGGTAGTTAAATCAATCATGGCCAACTCATCAGCAGAAGGAAACAAGTTACTTTTACAATTACACCAAATTATTGAGCAGTGCTATGACTTCTCTGCCTAAAATGAAAAAAACCATCTGATTCAACATATTCTGTATATTTTTAGGTGATATGAATTTTTTCATGAAAAGGGACCAGATGGTTCTTTGAGATTTGTGGGATTTTACAAAGATTTATCACTTGTAAAATAGTAAGGCTGACAGTTTTGCCACACAGCCATTGCAGGGGCATTGCTGTGTAGCAAAAAGAAAATATATTCAATATGATAAAAAAAAAAAGCAAGACAGAGATAGGAAATAAATCACAATCAGAAAAATCACTGTCCTTAATTGAGGTGAAAGTCAATAAACTGACCAATAGCAACTGTCACAAGTACACTGAAATTACTAACAAAGCAAAACATTGCACAAAGGCATAACAAAAGGCACTCATCATGCAATATCACGATTCATACACATCAAAACAGAAGACATAAATCCGGGTGTGGATTTACGACCGTCTCACAAAATATTTGACCGTTTTTAAATTGTGACGTTAAAGAGTACGAAGCTATTACCCCATACTCTCGACAGTATCTATAGCAATAGCATTACATATCATATGCAGAGATAAATACCTTTAATAAACAAAATTTAATTTTAATATAAGCATTTGCAACATCAATGTTAATAAAGAATTTTTTAGCTTTTTATGCCATTGGCATTTCTCTACTGACGTCCCAGCTATTCCTCATTCTAAAGGTCGGCAAGCACATATGTAAAAATCACAATAAAGAAATAATGGAATACGCCAAATAATCGAGAGTCCGGATAAGCAAGAGGGTACCATAATATTTTTTAAAAAATATTACTTTTATAAAATATTTATACCTGTTATTGGTATACCAAAAAATGACGCTATTCCTTGAAAGAAAAGGACAAATCCAAAAGAGTCTGTTAATTTTTCTAATCCAAGAAGGTCAACAAGAATAATGGATAACAACGAAATATAGGCCCCTATATTGTAGTTGCAAATTAATTTTATTTTGAAACAAAAATTTAGAACATAATTTTGCAAACTTACCATAAAATAAACCAAAAATTGCTGAAAAGATAATCATTTGAATGTAATTAAAGAAAAAGGTGCTAAGACTTATAGAAAAACCACAAACAGCTAATGATCCAATGTATAACCAAAGTCGGTTCTGTCCGCATTTGTCTGAAATATATCCAAAAATTATCCTTCCTAACGTGTTAAATATTCCAATGACAGATATAAGATAGCTTGCTTCTCTTTTAGTTGCTATGTTTTTATGTGTAATTTTTTCAACTGTGTAGATCGATACCGTTTCAATTCCCAGAAAAGTTAAAAAATTTGAAAAAATGTAAATAATAAAAATAGAATCTTGAAATATGTTAAAATTAAAATATCCTGAAAATTCGTTTCGTTGTTTATTGGGTACTTCGTTCATAATTAATATCTGTAAAACAAATAAATAATATTTATGCATAGTCTATTAATTAATTTATATCTAATTAACAAATAAAAAAATTTTAAATAAGATTATATTGGGAATTAATAATAACAAATAATATTTAATTTTTGAGTATTGGGATTGGTCCTGTCATTGAAACCAGGAGAAAAAGATATAATGTATAGCATTGTGGTAAAGGTTAAATATTCTAGATAGTTAGTTTATTAAATCGCAATTGTTACTCATAACAATCGCGAGAGTACAGCACTCTCACTCTGCGAGAAAATTTACTGCAGGTGGTGAAAAGGTATTGGTTTTCGTAAAATTTCGCTGAAAAAAAAGGTTATAAACTTGAAAACTACTGTGGGAATCGCTTCAGAATATATCAGTTGAGAAATACTAAAAAGCCCACACTTCAACTGTTTTATTTTTAAGAAATTCAATAAAGACACCGCCATGTATCTGCACTTGTGCTGAGTGAGGAAGAGAAACAAGCTATCTCATGGGAGGAAGAAAGAATGAAGAGGTATACGACAATCAGATCAATTAGAATAGTAGCAAAGAAAAGGTTACAAATTGCTGATATTGTGAAAGCTTGTGCTGACATTTTAAGAACTCCTGAGAATATAGAACAGGTATGTTTTAAGCCTAGAAATATAGTTGAGGTATGGCGAATAACTGTCAAGGACAAAGAAAATCTAATCGGCCACTCAATAAAAGTGGGAGGAGATGAGTATGTGTGCGAGAGTCTAGAAGAAATTAAAATAATTGTAACAGTAAAATATGTACCTAGTGAAGCTGACAATGAGATTTTAGAAAAAGCTCTAACATCTTATGGAAAGATTATCAAAGTATTAGTTAATAGTGTAACGTGTCACAATGTAAAAATTAAAACAGGAACCTATAGAGTGATACTAAAAACAAGAAAACTACATCCTAACTACATTGAGCTGTTGGGGAGTAAAATAGAGTTAGTTTATGTGGAAATGAAAAAGCGATTACGATGCTACAATCTTTGATTTCATGATTTATACTGTAGAAGCATAAATCATGAAATCAAAGATTGTAGCATTAAGCTTTGCCACAGATGTAAAAGCCCGCATCATCTAGTTAGGGACTGTCCAAATTGCTACAACTGCAACCTGCAACATAAGAAAAACGAGAAGTGCCCAGTACTCATATGTTCAGAAATATGCAAAAAAAGGCTCCAGAAGTAAGAGTAATGAAAAAAGAAGGGGGAAAAGTCTTAAAAGACTAAAAAACAAAGAAGTAAGTCGAGAAAAAAATGAAAATATAATACAGGAAGTAGAACAGGTTACACAAAAAGAGATAGAAATAGACAATGAACAAGAAAATGTAAAACCCTCAGGGTCAAGGCTGGGGATAGAACAGACAATAGAGATGGTGGAAAAGCTAAGAGAGTTATTAGGGCTAGAAGAACAACAAGCCACAGTGGAAGTACAGGAAGCAGAAGTACAGGAAATAACAGAAACGAATGAAGAAAGGGCCAAAATGAGAAATAGACCAGCGAATGAAGTGGGGAAGAGAAGGACATGACTAGATTTAGAGAAAAACTGTTATCCATAAGCATGGATGCCAATCTCACAGAGGTAGAAGTAATTGAGGAAGCAAGGAAGGCGATAAATAAGTCAGCACAGAAGAAACCAAGGAAAAGTAAAAGGAGACAATCAGCGTGAGACAAAACAGTTTTACATTCTGAATCTGCTTATGACTAATAAAGTTAATATGGAAGACACCAACACGTGGGACTTCTACGACCTAAGGAACCTAAGGAAACTATTTGTGCACTATCTCCTTCGCGACAAGGAGGAGTACAGGAGTCATCACCATGGTCAACAAAAGAATCAAAGTGGACGACTTCAAGACAGACTCTGAAGGGCGAACACTTGCTATAGATATTCAGATAGGTAAAAGACTTGTTAGAATAATTAATATCTATGCACCTCCTTCTGTCAAAGCGAAAAGTGTTATTAAAAATTTAGCAAGATCTTTAAAAAAGCAGTAGAGACATAATCTGGGGTGGGAACTTTAATTGCGTGTTAAACCCCATAGATAAAAATGGGTCATTGCGCTCCGATGGATCGCGAATAGTTTTAAGCAGTCCTGGATGACTATAGTCTTATTGATAACTAGCAGACCCCGCCACGCGTTGTTGTGGCTCAAATGTATCTATTATAAATGTATAACACTTCCCCCGTGGGGAGGGGAAATTTTTCGAAAAATTCTTTAGTGTACATTTTGTTGACGTACCCTATTAAAACGCAATCAAAAACGCAAAAAACCNCCATAATATTTTTTAAATTAAAAAATTAATACGAACTTAAATATTTAATTTAAGAAATTATTCTGCTTCTCAATAACACAATAATTTAATATTTATGTAAATATTTTCTCTCAATAATAAACAAACTTCTTTTAAGAACATTTAATTAAAGCATTATTTTCAAAAACCATATTTATTTATGAAATTAACATGCAAGCACCTTTAATAGTATATTTTAATTCTTTCCTTATACCAATACGTTAACAAATAAATCAATTGACGAAAGTTTACATGTGTACAGGAAGTATATTAATTAAATACGGTACTTCCCGCATCAACAAAAATAGACAGGCATTTGTCACACAAATTCCTTTTTATTAGTAATAATAATAATAACACGATTTAATCAACTGTAAAATCCGCGTAAATGCCTATTAATTTTCATTAATAAAATTTCATTTAATTTAAACGATCCAGATTGTTAAATTTATCATCATAAAGATCTGACAAGTAAATTTCAGTAATAAAAAGAATTTTAAGTATTATTTCAAAATTTATTTTTCTGATAATTATTTATTTATAATAATAATTATTATTATACGAAAAGTCACTTTTGATAATACGTTGAATATAATTGTAATGGAATAAAAGGGGCGTTTACTCCCGCTTCAATATAAAAACTGCAAAGTGCCCGTCCTTAAATACATTTACATTTTAACGAAAACGGTATAAATGAGAAAAGTTTTCACGTAAGACATTTTAATCGGTTATTCAAAATTTATTTTATATCGATGATTTATTAAATAATTTTGTTTAGTTTCTTACCTTGAGCGGCGTTCTTGAGCCATCGCTATTTTACTTTAGTACAACAAACAACCGCAAGATGGTATCGATTTGAATAAATTTTCGCCGACTTTTATGATTATTAGTTTTAAAAAAATATGGTTTATTTTTTATATTACCCCTTAATAATTGGAATGAGAAAAAGCAAAAATTATCTTAGTAAATTGTAATTTAAAAGTATTACAACTACTGATCGTTTTCGATCTTTAGTTCGATCAAAGTTCGATTAATCGTTCGATCAAAGTTTGCATTAATAATAATTATTAATGCAAACTTTGAAATTATATTTTGAAAATGTAATATATGCGCGTCTTCCTGTTTGATTTGAATATTTAATATTTAAAATTGAGATTAAAAATTAAAAATGAAGATCTCAATTTAGCTAAAACTGTAACTCGTATATAACCGAAAGCATTCATATACTTTAGTGTATTTCATATAAATAAATAATGGAAAACAAGGAGGATAAACCAACAATAATTCAAAATAAAAATTCGATCAATTTTTATTTTCAATAATTTTTTTTTTTTTTTTTTGAAGTCTTTCCGTCCTGTGGACACGTAGAGGGCCTTGTTAGAAATCCCATTATGGATTCAGACAGACGCACAACGGGGCAGTTGAATGGGCTCAACATAGCCAACGGAAAATTTCTGGCGTTTTTCGACCGGTCTAGATTTGATCCCGGATCTCCAGAGCAGTAGGTTGCACCTTTGCAGCTCGGCTGTAGTTAGTAGTCGTGTAAACCAAAAATTCGGAATAACTTTTTTCTTTTTTATTTTTTATTTTATTTTTTGCACACACATCCTGAAAAGAAATCGAACGTGCAAATTTTCTATTGCATTAACTTGTAAGAGTTGCTTATTCGATTCCGAATGTTTTTGTAGAGCATTCGACTTTTAGGAATGGGATTGGATTGATGGAATAAAGCAACGCAACTTTTAGGCGATGCTTCTCCAGAAGACTCGAAGGGATACATAAAAACAGTACGGAAAATTTAACGTGACCAATCCGTTGGCGAGGCGCTAAACCGCGACCAACTAATGTTCGCAGGGCGGAAAGAGTTTTAATAAAGACTCGATATTGGATCTCACAAAGCGGCAGTTTGTGAGCCAGCCGAGATATAGATCCTCAAGAACTTTTTATGGTTGGTTAGTCTCGGGTCCTGGTCCTCAGGTGGCTCCAGGCATCTCACGGGCCCACCAGTGGCCAAGCGATTCCGTTCCCTGAATACTGGGAGTTCGGTCGTGGTTCGCGCATGACGAGCTAGCCAGGTGAAGTTTTTCGGGTTTTCTCCACGTTTGTGGAGGGCCAGTTACCCTTAAGAAGGCCAGTTACCCTTAATAGGGGCCAGTTACCCTTAAAAAGACCTCCTGAAGGCATTCCTTCTAGGCAGATAGCCCAAGTGTTGCGTTGCCATAACTTAATAAACAAACAAACAAAGCAGCATCTCATAGTAAGCTTGGATAACCCATGATGACATGAAAAATAACGGCTGTTTTTATGCCCCACAGCGTGGAAAGTTTGATGTGTATGTATATGTGCGTGTGTATATATATATATATATATTGTGTGTGTGTGTGTGTGTGTGTGTGTGTGTGTGTGTGTGAACATACATCATATGCAATCATCTTATAAAAACGTATAATATTAAAATAAAATTTTGAATTTATTCGGAGAAAATTTTATATCTTATCATATTAAATTGTTTTCTTCGCAATTTTCAAGATAATCTGTAGATAAACGATGATAAACTATTTTGCACATTACTGCATGAAATACGTATATGATAATGAATGACATTTATCAGTTAAATATTTTTTAAATTAAATATTTCTGAATATTTCTTTTATTCTTCAGTTTTAGTTTTTACAGACGGTCGCATGGCCGAGCGGTCAAAATAACAGCCTATCGTTCTGGCGGACCCGGCTTTGAATCCGGAAGTCTGTAAAAGGACGTCCGGATTTTGTCGAGCCCTGTCCCTCATCACCTGGCTGCCCTATTGTAGGCCTGGTCGAACCCTTAATGAGCTTGCTGAAAAGAGTACAAACAGGTCGGAGAGAGTTTTAAAAAAGTTGAATTTTTATATATTAACATAAATTTAAAAGACCAGATTATGTTATAACTTTAATGTTTGATTATTGAATAAAAATCAAAAGTTTTATTTATCATAATGAATAAATATATGTAAAGTTAACATGATATAGAAATTAAATTCATATTTCTTTGCATTCAAATTAGGGTAGATCGAAGATATTTCTTTTTTGAAAAATTGGTATTGCAAACATGACAAAACTACTTAATAAAACGGAGATTCCAGAAAATAAAAACCCAGGTTCGAAAGATCCAGTTTGATCATATAACCATCCTGAAATTAAATTAAAATATAATTATTTTAAAATGAAATTAATTTCTTAAAGTGAAAAAAAAAAGTTTAAGAAAACAATTAAAAAAGTATAAAAATAGGAATCCTATCTTACTTTTATGCCAACTGAAAATTAATTTAAACCAGGGGTCGCCAAACTTTTATAACCGTCGACCCACAATCACTTTCCAAAGCCTCACATTCACCCCCACCGTAAAGTTTTATTAAAAGTGTATATGTATGAGCGAAAAAAAAAAAAAAACGTTGTGGGTTGTGGTCTCTGTCTAAGCAAAGAAAAAAAAAGGGGTTGTGACCCCTTAGCCGCATCGACCCCCTGATCGACCCCCTAGCCGCATCGACCCCCAATGATGTTGCATCGACCTCTGGGGGTCCATATCGACCACTTTGGCGACCCCTGATTTAAACGAAAGCTTTGAAGTAGAAATTTAAATTAAGAATTTTAATTTTTCTCATTGAAAATGCTTCTAAATTGTTATTTTTTTTTATTCTTTCTGACACATGAGTACTAACAGGACCGTTTTTTTTAACTCAACTTTTTTTTTCAATTTAGGCCACCCAGTTGGTGTCATGCGTTAAGGTGCCAGGCATGTTAAAAGAGTCCGGGTGGACTGTTTAATTTAGATATGTTACTATGTGTTACTACGACTATGTGTTAAAATGCTGCCAAAGCCCTTAGAAAAAAGCAATATAAAGATTATAAACAAATGTAAAACATGTAACAAGGACTTTAAGTCAAAACAGAACACTTTAATATTCGTTTGTTTTGAAAATTAAATAGCAGATTAATGCAGTGATAACATTAGATTCAGCGCGTTATGAAAATAAATCCTTCAATTTTGAAAACTTTTCATTTGCATTTACTGAAAAGTTATTAATTCAGCATTCATGTCATTGTTCTGGAACAGAGATATTATGTACTGTAAATATTTTATCATAAAATGTTTTTTTTTATCCTGTTTACTAACTAGATTTTTTTAATATCTTTACTTCACTAATTATATATTATTTAAAAATGTTGTTTAACTTGAATTATAGTTAATTACACTAAATAATCTTCAATATTATTTATATACAATAACCAAACAATTTTCTAACCAATATACTATATTTTACTAATGCAATTAATTTCCAATGCTTATCGTCCCGAATGTGATATAATATTCTGTCATTTTTTAAGATGAATCATTATGCTTAGCATTTGATTATTCTATTTTCGTTATCAGTGGCACAAAATGAGTAACTTATGTCCCATTTGCTATTCTGTCACGCAGAGCCGGCTCTACCGTAGGCGAACGGAGCAGCCGCTCCAGGCGCTAACTCTAGGGGCACCTCAGTGGTAAAGAAAATTAAAGGAAAAAATATTTTTTTCACTTTTCGATATTTTAATTGCAAGTGTGTGGCCAGTATGTGAATGGCTTTATCTGTTGAGACGCGCGTGGGTCGTGTGCATGGGCGGGTTCCACCCCGGGCACCATAATAGGATCTCGCTCCATCCTAAAACTTCCCTCGGGCCGGCACTGCTGTCACGTTTCTCAAAGTCAGTTACCACGTTTTACTTCTGGACTATACTAAAACCAAAATCAAAACTACTTTTCCAAGGTCTGACACTTTAATGCAGGCATGGCCAACATACGGCCCGTCGAATGAATTTATATGGTCCGCGATCAATCTCTCAATATTAGCTACTCAAGTCCGAATAACTCGATGAAAAAATCTGACGCCTAAAAAAAACGGTCAACAACTCACTGTGCGTTTAGAGTTAACCGTCCATTACAAATCTCGTAAGTACAGCGTAGAATGTTGATAAAGCACGATAATGTGAAAAATGTATCTGTAATCTCTATCTACAATTTAGTCTCTACGGGGTGACACCACAATGAGATATCGCACCACCTCAAAACCTTCCTAGGGCAGCCTCTGGTTCGGCCCGTGGAAAAAGTTTTCTTTCCAATTTGGCTCGGGGGCAAAAACTGTTGGCCACCCCTGCTTTAAGGCTATGACAGTAACGCGTTACATCAGCATGCTTCTAAATTATTGATAATTATTATCAGTTGACAAGTATTACTTCTACTAACTAATTAAGTATTTAATTTTTGTATACACTGTCTTATTAAATAGTTCAATTTAAAACTGTAGATAAATTTAGAACTTACTTAAAACATTTTAAAATGTTTTAAAACAATACTTGAAATTAAATTAGAATTATAATAAAAATCCAAATTAATTTTTTTTATTCTTAAGCTGCAAGCAATTTTGATGTTTCATTCTGATTTTTATTCATTTTGAAATGCTTTTTCATGCTTTTTATTTTAAAACTAAATAATAAATAAAATTCTTTTTATTTTCTAGTTTTTATTAAACTAATGGATGTATATTTATAAAATATTGACAAATTCATCACATTTGATTTTTTCCCGATATTTTGACTCTATATCTTATGGCACAAACAGACCAGTCACCAATTGAAATCAATTAAAGTTGTTGTGACAATGTTACAGAACGGCTGTAGGACAAAATGTGACAATGTTACATAACGGCTGTAGGACAAAAGCAGAAGCGCCGCTAGCTGTTTGAACGCCCGTGTGCTATACCGATTATGCCGCCCCCTGTTTAACTACGACTACCTATGCTGAGCTTGCCAGAAAGGCTCTTTAGTTTTGTCTCATAAGGGTGTAAAAAAAGAAAAGAAATACTTTACAAAAAAAAACTATTTATTACTAAATTATTTTTGTTTACTTAGGTGTAAAACCATATAAATATTTATCTACAGAAATTTAACTGTTCTTGCCTTTATGTTTGTGAAATCTGCTATCAATTTTCTTGTATCCAAGCTGTCTAAGATTTCACGTTCAATTGAAACTATAGCTAAATTACTTAGTCTTTGCTGGTGCATAGCTTTTTTTTTTCTTTTTATAATTTTTAACTTTGAAAAGGACCTTTCACCAAATGCAACTGAAACCGACAATGTAAGTAATATTCTTAGTGTTATTGCTGTGTTCGGAAATGTTGAAATTAAGTCATTAGTAAAAAGATATTGTAATTGCCACCCCCTGGACGTGCCGCCCGCGGCGGTGCACGCCTTGCACGCCGCTTACGGCGGGCCTGAACAAAAGCATTTGTTATCGATCAGATGTAAGAATATTACACATTGTCGTTAACTAAATTAAGAGATTATATATTTTTTTAAAAATTGCTGCCATAAACATTTTAAATAACGCCAATGAAATTACAACTCTCTTGTTTCAAATTGTTTCAAAGAAGAAAAATAAAATCATGTTTAAATTTGAATTTAAATATCTGATTGACATAGAACAGAATCGTTTCTTTAAACATTATTCGAAACATCGAATTCCATCATTCTGCTTTTGTTCGAAAGAAAAAGATCATCATGAACGATCGTCGGGAAACGGAAAAGAGAAAATGCCATCTCACTCCCTCCATGTTAGAGGAAGATTCCTCTCGAGTGAAGAGACTGACTCCCGTGGATCGAAAACTACTTCGGAGCAGAAAAATAAGAAACGATATTTTAAGAAAACGTATAGGAAGGAAGAGAACTGGAAAACACGGAACATCTGGGAAGAGATTGAAGGCAAGAAAGGTTGGAAGAAGACGATCAAAATCAAAGAGGATGAGAGGGAGTAAAGAAAGAGGAAGTTCTATGAGGAGAAAGGGACGAAGCGGAAGAAGTTCTCGAAGAAGGGGTAGTCGCGAAAGAAAGAAAATAGGGAGTCTGTAGAACGGTAATCTTCACAAATGTGACCGAGAACAGAAAATGGAATTGCTAGATTACTGTAATCTAGTAATCAAACGGCTCTTTTCAGAGCCATGCTTTCATTGGTAAAGGGTAGCCAAATTCATTTTAATAAACAACAATTAGTGCTTTATACAGTATGTTATACATTCAATTCTATTTTAAATCTTGAAACGTTCGGAATGTTTCGAGCGGTTGAAGATTGGCCTTTCGACTATTTAATACTTTAAATTTTATATACTAGCATGTTCAGCAACAATTTTTACTTTTCCGGCTGTTATATATAACAGAGGGGAAGTATGGCAATCGGTCAAAAAATGGTCCCCAAGATTGTTACATTTTTTGACTTATGATACCTTAAACGTCGAGAAATGCAAAAAACTTCGAGAATAATTTTAATTAAACCAATTTAATTAATTTAAGCTTAATAACTCCTGTGCTTTTTGTCGAAAATTTTTGAAATTTTGCAGGGTTTGTTTATTAGGGGATTGATACTACTATATTTTGGTGGTTAAAGGTCGAGGGAGTTGTGAGATAATGAGGATTGTGTGTATCTCAAGTAGGGTCGAACTTAATGACGATTTTACTCGTTATTAGCATTTACAATGTTTTTCCTCTACCTTCAAAATTAAGATTTTTGTCATTTTATAATAGTTAAAAATATAAAAAGTTTTTAAATAAAATATGATAACAGATGGCGCTACCAAAATTTTAAATGTCGCTGGGATGGTTGAGTAACTCGTTACTGGTTTGTTATATAATTAATTTAATGTATGATTAAATTGCAAATAATTAAATTATATTTTTATAATGAACATATAGATAATATTTATTTCATTCTAAATTTGCCATTATATTAATATAATATTACTTTTATAAAATATTTATACCTGTTATTGGTATACCAAAAAATGACGCTATTCCTTGAAAGAAAAGGACAAATCCAAAAGAGTCTGTTAATTTTTCTAATCCAAGAAGGTCAACAAGAATAATGGATAACAACGAAATATAGGCCCCTATATTGTAGTTGCAAATTAATTTTATTTTGAAACAAAAATTTAGAACATAATTTTGCAAACTTACCATAAAATAAACCAAAAATTGCTGAAAAGATAATCATTTGAATGTAATTAAAGAAAAAGGTGCTAAGACTTATACAAAAACCACAAACAGCTAATGATCCAATGTATAACCAAAGTCGGTTCTGTCCGCATTTGTCTGAAATATATCCAAAAATTATCCTTCCTAACGTGTTAAATATTCCAATGACAGATATAAGATAGCTTGCTTCTCTTTTAGTTGCTATGTTTTTATGTGTAATTTTTTCAACTGTGTAGATCGATACCGTTTCAATTCCCAGAAAAGTTAAAAAATTTGAAAAAATGTAAATAATAAAAATAGAATCTTGAAATATGTTAAAATTAAAATATCCTGAAAATTCGTTTCGTTGTTTATTGGGTACTTCGTTCATAATTAATATCTGTAAAACAAATAAATAATATTTATGCATAGTCTATTAATTAATTTATATCTAATTAACAAATAAAAAAATTTTAAATAAGATTATATTGGGAATTAATAATAACAAATAATATTTAATTTTTGAGTATTGGGATTGGTCCTGTCATTGAAACCAGGAGAAAAAGATATAATATATAGCATTGTGGTAAAGATTAAATATTCTAGATAGTTAGTTTATTAAATCGCAATTGTTACTCATAACAATCGCGAGAGTACAGCACTCTCACTCTGCGAGAAAATTTACTGCAGGTGGTGAAAAGGTATTGGCTGAAAAAAAAAGGTTATAAACTTGAAAACTACTGTGGGAATCGCTTCAGAATATATCAGTTGAGAAATACTAAAAAGCCCACACTTCAACTGTTTTATTTTTAAGAAATTCAATAAAGACACCGCCATGTATCTGCACTTGCGCTAAGTGAGGAAGAGAAACAAGCTATCTCATGGGAGGAAGAAAGAATGAAGAGGTATACGACAATCAGATCAATTAGAATAGTAGCAAAGAAAAGGTTACAAATTGCTGATATTGTGAAAGCTTGTGCTGACATTTTAAGAACCCCTGAGAATATAGAACAGGTATGTTTTAAGCCTAGAAATATAGTTGAGGTATGGCGAATAACTGTCAAGGACAAAGAAAATCTAATCGGCCACTCAATAAAAGTGGGAGGAGATGAGTATGTGTGCGAGAGTCTAGAAGAAATTAAAATAATTGTAACAGTAAAATATGTACCTAGTGAAGCTGACAATGAGATTTTAGAAAAAGCTCTAACATCTTATGGAAAGATTATCAAAGTATTAGTTAATAGTGTAACGTGTCACAATGTAAAAATTAAAACAGGAACCTATAGAGTGATACTAAAAACAAGAAAACTACATCCTAACTACATTGAGCTGTTGGGGAGTAAAATAGAGTTAGTTTATGTGGAAATGAAAAAGCGATTACGATGCTACAATCTTTGATTTCATGATTTATACTGTAGAAGCATAAATCATGAAATCAAAGATTGTAGCATTAAGCTTTGCCACAGATGTAAAAGCCCGCATCATCTAGTTAGAGACTGTCCAAATTGCTACAACTGCAACCTGCAACATAAGAAAAACGAGAAGTGCCCAGTACTCATATGTTCAGAAATATGCAAAAAAAGGCTCCAGAAGTAAGAGTAATGAAAAAAGAAGGGGGAAAAGTCTTAAAAGACTAAAAAACAAAGAAGTAAGTCGAGAAAAAAATGAAAATATAATACAGGAAGTAGAACAGGTTACACAAAAAGAGATAGAAATAGACAATGAACAAGAAAATGTAAAACCCTCAGGGTCAAGGCTGGGGATAGAACAGACAATAGAGATGGTGGAAAAGCTAAGAGAGTTATTAGGGCTAGAAGAACAACAAGCCACAGTGGAAGTACAGGAAGCAGAAGTACAGGAAATAACAGAAACGAATGAAGAAAGGGCCAAAATGAGAAATAGACCAGCGAATGAAGTGGGGAAGAGAAGGACATGACTAGATTTAGAGAAAAACTGTTATCCATAAGCATGGATGCCAATCTCACAGAGGTAGAAGTAATTGAGGAAGCAAGGAAGGCGATAAATAAGTCAGCACAGAAGAAACCAAGGAAAAGTAAAAGGAGACAATCAGCGTGAGACAAAACAGTTTTACATTCTGAATCTGCTTATGACTAATAAAGTTAATATGGAAGACACCAACACGTGGGACTTCTACGACCTAAGGAACCTAAGGAAACTATTTGTGCACTATCTCCTTCGCGACAAGGAGGAGTACAGGAGTCATCACCATGGTCAACAAAAGAATCAAAGTGGACGACTTCAAGACAGACTCTGAAGGGCGAACACTTGCTATAGATATTCAGATAGGTAAAAGACTTGTTAGAATAATTAATATCTATGCACCTCCTTCTGTCAAAGCGAAAAGTGTTATTAAAAATTTAGCAAGATCTTTAAAAAAGCAGTAGAGACATAATCTGGGGTGGGAACTTTAATTGCGTGTTAAACCCCATAGATAAAAATGGGTCATTGCGCTCCGATGGATCGCGAATAGTTTTAAGCAGTCCTGGATGACTATAGTCTTATTGATAACTAGCAGACCCCGCCACGCGTTGTTGTGGCTCAAATGTATCTATTATAAATGTATAACACTTCCCCCGTGGGGAGGGGAAATTTTTCGAAAAATTCTTTAGTGTACATTTTGTTGACGTACCCTATTAAAACGCAATCAAAAACGCAAAAAACCGCATCTAAAATAGTATAAATAGAAGCAGAGTTCTTTACCGTAAGCCTTAATCCTAACCATCTCCCCTGGGGGAATTTCGACATGTATATTATATAAAAACACGTGTGTATTCGAATGCAGCGTCGTGTCAAAATTTCAAAGAAGTCGGTAGGAACAAACGAACATTACATTTTTATTTATATAGATAGATAGAAGATGATCTGCTTTAGTTCATTTTCACAGAAAAGCATAATGCCTCACAGAAAAGCAAACTTAGGGCGTCGTACTCGTAGCGCCATCTGTTGGACATAAAAGCCTTAACCTAGATTATATCTTTTAATTTATATGAATGTTTAACGGAATAATAACCGGCCTATGTCCACCTGGAGTTTCATTCTAAATATTGGTGAAAGAATTTTTGAAATCGGATGAGTAGTTTCGGAGATTACCTGCTGCAAACAAACTTACAAACATTACCTCTTTATAATATTAGTATAGACTATCGCACCATCCACCCTGACTCCCCAGGGTTTACTTGCGGTATGGGAGCGTCTGGATCGCATGTATATTTCTAAAAATATGGGGAAAATTATCAATATCAGCAAAATGGGCTAAACAAGGACCTCGGATCACAAGATGATTGAACTGGAAATAGAAGTTATGAAAAACCATTAAAAAAAATAAAATCAAAATCACTAAAGAAATACTTGATGATAGCTTTTTTGTAGAAAATATTAATGATGTATTAAAGAAATGGAAAGAATACATCACCCGGGAAAAATGGATTGAAACAAAACGTAAGTGTAGAGAAATAATACAGAAAAGCTGGGAGAGGTTAAGAAAGAGTAGTTTCAACAAAATTAAAAAACTACAGAGAGAGCTAACGAATTATATTATAGAAAACAAAGAAGAAGACGTAAGAAAAAAAAATAAGACTAGTAACGAAATAGAAAAGAAAAATAAGATGAGAGAAAGCATTAAAATAGACAAGATTGTAATAGACAACAAAGAGATTAAGGTAAATAAAGAAATTCTAAGCAATTTTCACTATTTCTACACGCGGCTATTAAGTGATCCGGGATCTGATGACTCTGCTTGGAAAGAGGTAGTAAATAATCTTAAACCGGTTAAGAAAAATAATGAAAATATTATTAATATAGGATTTTAACAATTGGTTCTTGTACCTCAAAATTTTCTCTATCGTGAATGAGAGATGGGTCGCTGAAATAATTATTCGATATTTTTGAATTATTTAGAATGGAAAACGAAGAATATTCACTCAGGATTGGAAGAGATATAGATTTTCTTGGTAAAATTAAATTAATCTGTTTATCATTTTTGTGAACTGAATGAACTGAACCGAATTTCCAATTCTTCTTTTTTACGCGTGAAATCGGGCTCAAAAGGGTTCCAAATATATATCCACTAAACAGAAATCCAGAAGCAAAAAACATCGCTCCTTTCCATCCGTAAACGTTAGTTAAAAACTGTAAAACTGGAGCAAGAATAAAAGTTCCAATTCCAGATCCACATGCAGCCAAGCCAGTTGCGAAAGCTCGGTTTTCGTTAAAATGATGATTTACAGAAATTATTGCGGCAAAATACATAAGCCCAATTCCTGCACCTGAAAAGAAAAATTGTATTATAATAGGTCTTTCTNTATATGTATGAGCGAAAAAAAAAACGTTGTGGGTTGTGGTCTCTGTCTAAGCAAAGAAAAAAAAAGGGGTTGTGACCCCTTAGCCGCATCGACCCCCTGATCGACCCCCTAGCCTCATCGACCCCCAATGATGTTGCATCGACCCCTGAGGGTCCATATCGACCACTTTGGCGACCCCTGATTTAAACGAAAGCTTTGAAGTAGAAATTTAAATTAAGAATTTTAATTTTTCTCATTGAAAATGCTTCTAAATTGTTATTTTTTTTTATTCTTTCTGACACATGAGTACTAACAGGACCGTTTTTTTTAACTCAACTTTTTTTTTTCAATTTAGGCCACCCAGTTGGTGTCATGCGTTAAGGTGCCAGGCATGTTAAAAGAGTCCGGGTGGACTGTTTAATTTAGATATGTTACTATGTGTTACTACGACTATGTGTTAAAATGCTGCCAAAGCCCTTAGAAAAAAGCAATATAAAGATTATAAACAAATGTAAAACATGTAACAAGGACTTTAAGTCAAAACAGAACACTTTAATATTCGTTTGTTTTGAAAATTAAATAGCAGATTAATGCAGTGATAACATTAGATTCAGCGCGTTATGAAAATAAATCCTTCAATTTTGAAAACTTTTCATTTGCATTTACTGAAAAGTTATTAATTCAGCATTCATGTCATTGTTCTGGAACAGAGATATTATGTACTGTAAATATTTTATCATAAAATGTTTTTTTTTATCCTGTTTACTAACTAGATTTTTTTAATATCTTTACTTCACTAATTATATATCATTTAAAAATGTTGTTTAACTTGAATTATAGTTAATTACACTAAATAATCTTCAATATTATTTATATACAATAACCAAACAATTTTCTAACCAATATACTATATTTTACTAATGCAATTAATTTCCAATGCTTATCGTCCCGAATGTGATATAATATTCTGTCATTTTTTAAGATGAATCATTATGCTTAGCATTTGATTATTCTATTTTCGTTATCAGTGGCACAAAATGAGTAACTTATGTCCCATTTGCTATTCTGTCACGCAGAGCCGGCTCTACCGTAGGCGAACGGAGCAGCCGCTCCAGGCGCTAACTCCTAGGGGCACCTCAGTGGTAAAGAAAATTAAAGGAAAAAATATTTTTTTCACTTTTCGATATTTTAATTGCAAGTGTGTGGCCAGTATGTGAATGGCTTTATCTGTTGAGACGCGCGTGGGTCGTGTGCATGGGCGGGTTCCACCCCGGGCACCATAATAGGATCTCGCTCCATCCTAAAACTTCCCTCGGGCCGGCACTGCTGTCACGTTTCTCAAAGTCAGTTACCACGTTTTACTTCTGGACTATACTAAAACCAAAATCAAAACTACTTTTCCAAGGTCTGACACTTTAATGCAGGCATGGCCAACATACGGCCCGTCGAATGAATTTATATGGTCCGCGATCAATCTCTCAATATTAGCTACTCAAGTCCGAATAACTCGATGAAAAAATCTGACGCCTAAAAAAAAACGGTCAACAACTCACTGTGCGTTTAGAGTTAACCGTCCATTACAAATCTCGTAAGTACAGCGTAGAATGTTGATAAAGCACGATAATGTGAAAAATGTATCTGTAATCTCTATCTACAATTTAGTCTCTACGGGGTGACACCACAATGAGATATCGCACCACCTCAAAACCTTCCTAGGGCAGCCTCTGGTTCGGCCCGTGGAAAAAGTTTTCTTTCCAATTTGGCTCGGGGGCAAAAACTGTTGGCCACCCCTGCTTTAAGGCTATGACAGTAACGCGTTACATCAGCATGCTTCTAAATTATTGATAATTATTATCAGTTGACAAGTATTACTTCTACTAACTAATTAAGTATTTAATTTTTGTATACACTGTCTTATTAAATAGTTCAATTTAAAACTGTAGATAAATTTAGAACTTACTTAAAACATTTTAAAATGTTTTAAAACAATACTTGAAATTAAATTAGAATTATAATAAAAATCCAAATTAATTTTTTTTATTCTTAAGCTGCAAGCAATTTTGATGTTTCATTCTGATTTTTATTCATTTTGAAATGCTTTTTCATGCTTTTTATTTTAAAACTAAATAATAAATAAAATTCTTTTTATTTTCTAGTTTTTATTAAACTAATGGATGTATATTTATAAAATATTGACAAATTCATCACATTTGATTTTTTCCCGATATTTTGACTCTATATCTTATGGCACAAACAGACCAGTCACCAATTGAAATCAATTAAAGTTGTTGTGACAATGTTACAGAACGGCTGTAGGACAAAATGTGACAATGTTACATAACGGCTGTAGGACAAAAGCAGAAGCGCCGCTAGCTGTTTGAACGCCCGTGTGCTATACCGATTATGCCGCCCCCTGTTTAACTACGACTACCTATGCTGAGCTTGCCAGAAAGGCTCTTTAGTTTTGTCTCATAAGGGTGTAAAAAAAGAAAAGAAATACTTTACAAAAAAAAACTATTTATTACTAAATTATTTTTGTTTACTTAGGTGTAAAACCATATAAATATTTATCTACAGAAATTTAACTGTTCTTGCCTTTATGTTTGTGAAATCTGCTATCAATTTTCTTGTATCCAAGCTGTCTAAGATTTCACGTTCAATTGAAACTATAGCTAAATTACTTAGTCTTTGCTGGTGCATAGCTTTTTTTTTTCTTTTTATAATTTTTAACTTTGAAAAGGACCTTTCACCAAATGCAACTGAAACCGACAATGTAAGTAATATTCTTAGTGTTATTGCTGTGTTCGGAAATGTTGAAATTAAGTCATTAGTAAAAAGATATTGTAATTGCCACCCCCTGGACGTGCCGCCCGCGGCGGTGCACGCCTTGCACGCCGCTTACGGCGGGCCTGAACAAAAGCATTTGTTATCGATCAGATGTAAGAATATTACACATTGTCGTTAACTAAATTAAGAGATTATATATTTTTTTAAAAATTGCTGCCATAAACATTTTAAATAACGCCAATGAAATTACAACTCTCTTGTTTCAAATTGTTTCAAAGAAGAAAAATAAAATCATGTTTAAATTTGAATTTAAATATCTGATTGACATAGAACAGAATCGTTTCTTTAAACATTATTCGAAACATCGAATTCCATCATTCTGCTTTTGTTCGAAAGAAAAAGATCATCATGAACGATCGTCGGGAAACGGAAAAGAGAAAATGCCATCTCACTCCCTCCATGTTAGAGGAAGATTCCTCTCGAGTGAAGAGACTGACTCCCGTGGATCGAAAACTACTTCGGAGCAGAAAAATAAGAAACGATATTTTAAGAAAACGTATAGGAAGGAAGAGAACTGGAAAACACGGAACATCTGGGAAGAGATTGAAGGCAAGAAAGGTTGGAAGAAGACGATCAAAATCAAAGAGGATGAGAGGGAGTAAAGAAAGAGGAAGTTCTATGAGGAGAAAGGGACGAAGCGGAAGAAGTTCTCGAAGAAGGGGTAGTCGCGAAAGAAAGAAAATAGGGAGTCTGTAGAACGGTAATCTTCACAAATGTGACCGAGAACAGAAAATGGAATTGCTAGATTACTGTAATCTAGTAATCAAACGGCTCTTTTCAGAGCCATGCTTTCATTGGTAAAGGGTAGCCAAATTCATTTTAATAAACAACAATTAGTGCTTTATACAGTATGTTATACATTCAATTCTATTTTAAATCTTGAAACGTTCGGAATGTTTCGAGCGGTTGAAGATTGGCCTTTCGACTATTTAATACTTTAAATTTTATATACTAGCATGTTCAGCAACAATTTTTACTTTTCCGGCTGTTATATATAACAGAGGGGAAGTATGGCAATCGGTCAAAAAATGGTCCCCAAGATTGTTACATTTTTTGACTTATGATACCTTAAACGTCGAGAAATGCAAAAAACTTCGAGAATAATTTTAATTAAACCAATTTAATTAATTTAAGCTTAATAACTCCTGTGCTTTTTGTCGAAAATTTTTGAAATTTTGCAGGGTTTGTTTATTAGGGGATTGATACTACTATATTTTGGTGGTTAAAGGTCGAGGGAGTTGTGAGATAATGAGGATTGTGTGTATCTCAAGTAGGGTCGAACTTAATGACGATTTTACTCGTTATTAGCATTTACAATGTTTTTCCTCTACCTTCAAAATTAAGATTTTTGTCATTTTATAATAGTTAAAAATATAAAAAGTTTTTAAATAAAATATGATAACAGATGGCGCTACCAAAATTTTAAATGTCGCTGGGATGGTTGAGTAACTCGTTACTGGTTTGTTATATAATTAATTTAATGTATGATTAAATTGCAAATAATTAAATTATATTTTTATAATGAACATATAGATAATATTTATTTCATTCTAAATTTGCCATTATATTAATATAATATTACTTTTATAAAATATTTATACCTGTTATTGGTATACCAAAAAATGACGCTATTCCTTGAAAGAAAAGGACAAATCCAAAAGAGTCTGTTAATTTTTCTAATCCAAGAAGGTCAACAAGAATAATGGATAACAACGAAATATAGGCCCCTATATTGTAGTTGCAAATTAATTTTATTTTGAAACAAAAATTTAGAACATAATTTTGCAAACTTACCATAAAATAAACCAAAAATTGCTGAAAAGATAATCATTTGAATGTAATTAAAGAAAAAGGTGCTAAGACTTATACAAAAACCACAAACAGCTAATGATCCAATGTATAACCAAAGTCGGTTCTGTCCGCATTTGTCTGAAATATATCCAAAAATTATCCTTCCTAACGTGTTAAATATTCCAATGACAGATATAAGATAGCTTGCTTCTCTTTTAGTTGCTATGTTTTTATGTGTAATTTTTTCAACTGTGTAGATCGATACCGTTTCAATTCCCAGAAAAGTTAAAAAATTTGAAAAAATGTAAATAATAAAAATAGAATCTTGAAATATGTTAAAATTAAAATATCCTGAAAATTCGTTTCGTTGTTTATTGGGTACTTCGTTCATAATTAATATCTGTAAAACAAATAAATAATATTTATGCATAGTCTATTAATTAATTTATATCTAATTAACAAATAAAAAAATTTTAAATAAGATTATATTGGGAATTAATAATAACAAATAATATTTAATTTTTGAGTATTGGGATTGGTCCTGTCATTGAAACCAGGAGAAAAAGATATAATATATAGCATTGTGGTAAAGATTAAATATTCTAGATAGTTAGTTTATTAAATCGCAATTGTTACTCATAACAATCGCGAGAGTACAGCACTCTCACTCTGCGAGAAAATTTACTGCAGGTGGTGAAAAGGTATTGGCTGAAAAAAAAAGGTTATAAACTTGAAAACTACTGTGGGAATCGCTTCAGAATATATCAGTTGAGAAATACTAAAAAGCCCACACTTCAACTGTTTTATTTTTAAGAAATTCAATAAAGACACCGCCATGTATCTGCACTTGCGCTAAGTGAGGAAGAGAAACAAGCTATCTCATGGGAGGAAGAAAGAATGAAGAGGTATACGACAATCAGATCAATTAGAATAGTAGCAAAGAAAAGGTTACAAATTGCTGATATTGTGAAAGCTTGTGCTGACATTTTAAGAACCCCTGAGAATATAGAACAGGTATGTTTTAAGCCTAGAAATATAGTTGAGGTATGGCGAATAACTGTCAAGGACAAAGAAAATCTAATCGGCCACTCAATAAAAGTGGGAGGAGATGAGTATGTGTGCGAGAGTCTAGAAGAAATTAAAATAATTGTAACAGTAAAATATGTACCTAGTGAAGCTGACAATGAGATTTTAGAAAAAGCTCTAACATCTTATGGAAAGATTATCAAAGTATTAGTTAATAGTGTAACGTGTCACAATGTAAAAATTAAAACAGGAACCTATAGAGTGATACTAAAAACAAGAAAACTACATCCTAACTACATTGAGCTGTTGGGGAGTAAAATAGAGTTAGTTTATGTGGAAATGAAAAAGCGATTACGATGCTACAATCTTTGATTTCATGATTTATACTGTAGAAGCATAAATCATGAAATCAAAGATTGTAGCATTAAGCTTTGCCACAGATGTAAAAGCCCGCATCATCTAGTTAGAGACTGTCCAAATTGCTACAACTGCAACCTGCAACATAAGAAAAACGAGAAGTGCCCAGTACTCATATGTTCAGAAATATGCAAAAAAAGGCTCCAGAAGTAAGAGTAATGAAAAAAGAAGGGGGAAAAGTCTTAAAAGACTAAAAAACAAAGAAGTAAGTCGAGAAAAAAATGAAAATATAATACAGGAAGTAGAACAGGTTACACAAAAAGAGATAGAAATAGACAATGAACAAGAAAATGTAAAACCCTCAGGGTCAAGGCTGGGGATAGAACAGACAATAGAGATGGTGGAAAAGCTAAGAGAGTTATTAGGGCTAGAAGAACAACAAGCCACAGTGGAAGTACAGGAAGCAGAAGTACAGGAAATAACAGAAACGAATGAAGAAAGGGCCAAAATGAGAAATAGACCAGCGAATGAAGTGGGGAAGAGAAGGACATGACTAGATTTAGAGAAAAACTGTTATCCATAAGCATGGATGCCAATCTCACAGAGGTAGAAGTAATTGAGGAAGCAAGGAAGGCGATAAATAAGTCAGCACAGAAGAAACCAAGGAAAAGTAAAAGGAGACAATCAGCGTGAGACAAAACAGTTTTACATTCTGAATCTGCTTATGACTAATAAAGTTAATATGGAAGACACCAACACGTGGGACTTCTACGACCTAAGGAACCTAAGGAAACTATTTGTGCACTATCTCCTTCGCGACAAGGAGGAGTACAGGAGTCATCACCATGGTCAACAAAAGAATCAAAGTGGACGACTTCAAGACAGACTCTGAAGGGCGAACACTTGCTATAGATATTCAGATAGGTAAAAGACTTGTTAGAATAATTAATATCTATGCACCTCCTTCTGTCAAAGCGAAAAGTGTTATTAAAAATTTAGCAAGATCTTTAAAAAAGCAGTAGAGACATAATCTGGGGTGGGAACTTTAATTGCGTGTTAAACCCCATAGATAAAAATGGGTCATTGCGCTCCGATGGATCGCGAATAGTTTTAAGCAGTCCTGGATGACTATAGTCTTATTGATAACTAGCAGACCCCGCCACGCGTTGTTGTGGCTCAAATGTATCTATTATAAATGTATAACACTTCCCCCGTGGGGAGGGGAAATTTTTCGAAAAATTCTTTAGTGTACATTTTGTTGACGTACCCTATTAAAACGCAATCAAAAACGCAAAAAACCGCATCTAAAATAGTATAAATAGAAGCAGAGTTCTTTACCGTAAGCCTTAATCCTAACCATCTCCCCTGGGGGAATTTCGACATGTATATTATATAAAAACACGTGTGTATTCGAATGCAGCGTCGTGTCAAAATTTCAAAGAAGTCGGTAGGAACAAACGAACATTACATTTTTATTTATATAGATAGATAGAAGATGATCTGCTTTAGTTCATTTTCACAGAAAAGCATAATGCCTCACAGAAAAGCAAACTTAGGGCGTCGTACTCGTAGCGCCATCTGTTGGACATAAAAGCCTTAACCTAGATTATATCTTTTAATTTATATGAATGTTTAACGGAATAATAACCGGCCTATGTCCACCTGGAGTTTCATTCTAAATATTGGTGAAAGAATTTTTGAAATCGGATGAGTAGTTTCGGAGATTACCTGCTGCAAACAAACTTACAAACATTACCTCTTTATAATATTAGTATAGACTATCGCACCATCCACCCTGACTCCCCAGGGTTTACTTGCGGTATGGGAGCGTCTGGATCGCATGTATATTTCTAAAAATATGGGGAAAATTATCAATATCAGCAAAATGGGCTAAACAAGGACCTCGGATCACAAGATGATTGAACTGGAAATAGAAGTTATGAAAAACCATTAAAAAAAATAAAATCAAAATCACTAAAGAAATACTTGATGATAGCTTTTTTGTAGAAAATATTAATGATGTATTAAAGAAATGGAAAGAATACATCACCCGGGAAAAATGGATTGAAACAAAACGTAAGTGTAGAGAAATAATACAGAAAAGCTGGGAGAGGTTAAGAAAGAGTAGTTTCAACAAAATTAAAAAACTACAGAGAGAGCTAACGAATTATATTATAGAAAACAAAGAAGAAGACGTAAGAAAAAAAAATAAGACTAGTAACGAAATAGAAAAGAAAAATAAGATGAGAGAAAGCATTAAAATAGACAAGATTGTAATAGACAACAAAGAGATTAAGGTAAATAAAGAAATTCTAAGCAATTTTCACTATTTCTACACGCGGCTATTAAGTGATCCGGGATCTGATGACTCTGCTTGGAAAGAGGTAGTAAATAATCTTAAACCGGTTAAGAAAAATAATGAAAATATTATTAATATAGGATTTTAACAATTGGTTCTTGTACCTCAAAATTTTCTCTATCGTGAATGAGAGATGGGTCGCTGAAATAATTATTCGATATTTTTGAATTATTTAGAATGGAAAACGAAGAATATTCACTCAGGATTGGAAGAGATATAGATTTTCTTGGTAAAATTAAATTAATCTGTTTATCATTTTTGTGAACTGAATGAACTGAACCGAATTTCCAATTCTTCTTTTTTACGCGTGAAATCGGGCTCAAAAGGGTTCCAAATATATATCCACTAAACAGAAATCCAGAAGCAAAAAACATCGCTCCTTTCCATCCGTAAACGTTAGTTAAAAACTGTAAAACTGGAGCAAGAATAAAAGTTCCAATTCCAGATCCACATGCAGCCAAGCCTGTTGCGAAAGCTCGGTTTTCGTTAAAATGATGATTTACAGAAATTATTGCGGCAAAATACATAAGCCCAATTCCTGCACCTGAAAAGAAAAATTGTATTATAATAGGTCTTTCTTTAACTAAATAATTGCACACAATGAATTTAAAAAATGCAACTGCTTGAGATTATACAGTATATATTATTATTATTATACAAAATTTTAATTCATTTGCAATGACTATTAATAATGAATATTGTATATATAATAAAATTATTCATTTATATTTCTGTAAGAATCCAAAGTTGTGAAGCAATCAGAAAATAATCTGCACTGAAATATAAAATACATAATATACTTTCAAAAAAGTACATAAAATAAACTTAAAATATTTTTCAATAATTTCGAAATTTGAATTAGTGTTGACTCTAGAGGAGTCTAGACCAGCGTTTCTCAAAGTGGGCGATAACGCCCCCTTGTGGGCGCTGGAGGCTTTCAGGGGGGCAGTAGAAGGCTCAAAGAGAATTGGGGGGCGTTAAGGAAATATAGAGGGGCGACGGCAGACAAATTCTATATATAAAAATTCGACGGAATATATATAAAATGTTGACATTTTATATATTTTTTATTGAAGGTCACAACTTGAATATTTCTAACACATTGACTTTTATTTTAGCTCAGCGTTTCTCAAAGTAAGCAATAACGCCCCCTTCTGGCGCGATGAATAGATCTATGATAGAGGCAGGGTATTGAACGGTGACCAAAGGCAAAATTGGGGCTGATAAGAGGAAACATTGCGTTTAATGGTTTCCAGATGATGAGAACAATGTACAGTAAGGGCACAAAGTGTGAGATTCATAGAAAAGTTTTCCTAAGAATATTTCCAATCTTTTTCTCACACAAGAGAAAATGGGTTAGGGGGCGTTGGGTATAACTTTATGGAACAAAGGGGGCAGTGGATCGAAAAAGTTTGAGAATCATTGCTCTAGACATTTTCTTCAGGGAGATTTTTTGTAGAAATTTTTTCTTATAAAAGATTAGTTTGGGCCCTCTGTTGGCGGGGGTCCAAGGCAAGTGTCCTTTTAGCTCACAGGATAACGCGCCACTGAAAATTTACTTGGGATTCATGTATCGTTTGTCTAATTGTATTTACTCTATGTACAAGGTTTTTTGGAAAGGTTTTGCTGAGAGGTCGAGAGGCTTTTTGCATCTGGGATTTTCTTTACGTGTCTAACACTAAATAAGGTCCTATTTTCCACAGAAAGTCCTCTCGGGAGGCGTCCTTCTTGGCAGATTGTCCATGCCTTCTTCCATCAACCATTATCGAAACAAAAACACGCAACAGATTTTAAAAAACACGATGGTAAAACTGAAGTGTTATTTAATTAGCTGTATTGACAGATGGCCAAGTGGCTAAGATGACAGCTTACAGCTCCAGGAACCCGGGGTGGAAGAATTCATTTGTCTGGTGGTTCGTCCGGATATATCGGTCCCCGTTCCTCGCCACTCACCGCTCCATTGTGAACTTGTTTTTAAGAAGCGATTATGAGTTAGAGGCCTTCTTAGTGCCCACAGCGCGGAAAGAGTTTTAAAAAAATCAGTTCTACTTGATTTTGAATAATCGTGTAAGCTTATTAATAAAAGTTACCTGTACATAATCCAACAGTTAAGTATAAATATGTTATATTAAAAGCTAAAGAGCCAAGTGCATATCCAGCAGATGATACCAAAGATCCTAATATGCACACAAATCGGCAACCATATTTATTTGTCAGAACTCCAGCTAATGGGCCTAAAATTATGTTAAAATTATATTTATTATATGAAAAATTTAAAGTTTATTTAATTTACTATAAAATATGAATTTACCGACAAAATTAAGCATTCCGCTCATAGTAGATGGAATCCAAGCTGTTTCACCGCTGTTATATCCGTTATTGTGAATAATTTCGGAATAAAATATACCGAAAGTATAAACTATTCCATCGGAAATGATATGAATCATAAAAGCTGCAAAAACAATTATCCAATTGCATCCTTGTTCCAATTTTTCAGTTTCCAGAACTTTGTGAACTTTGTCTTTTAGATTCTGAAAGCTGTGATGACGAATTTTTTCATAATTTAGTTTAATTTTCACATTGTAATTAGTTTAATAGTATTTAAAATTGTAGAAAATCATGAATACTTCCAATAAAAGTAAAAGGAAAAAGAAGTATACCATTTGAATTCCATGTTCATTATTATTTCTAAGGACAAAATATTTCTTAGCAATATTTATTTTTAATAAATCAATAAGTAAACTTTGCAATAAATAGATTAAAAACCATTGTTAAGCATTCATTATTTAATATTCAAGAAATTATAAAAATAAATTTTTTTTTGGTTTTGAAATTTTGGGACAGAGATGGATTCACCGAAGGGATATAGTTGCTTCCTAGCCCACTCCATTAACACAAGGCCTAACAGTGCCCGAGTGGATAAAACCACCGAACACTGGTAGTTGGTCGCGGACTCGCGCGTCATTAACGGGGTGGAACTCTGGAGCTTTCTGGGTTTTTTCAAGTGTTTAACGTCTAAATACGGGCCAGTTTCCCATAAAAGTCATCAGAGAGGCAGATCCTTGGCAGATCATCTACCTGTTGCGTTGCTGTACTTCACCAGACCAGACCNGATCAGATGTAAGAATATTACACATTGTCGTTAACTAAATTAAGAGATTATATATTTTTTTAAAAATTGCTGCCATAAACATTTTAAATAACGCCAATGAAATTACAACTCTCTTGTTTCAAATTGTTTCAAAGAAGAAAAATAAAATCATGTTTAAATTTGAATTTAAATATCTGATTGACATAGAACAGAATCGTTTCTTTAAACATTATTCGAAACATCGAATTCCATCATTCTGCTTTTGTTCGAAAGAAAAAGATCATCATGAACGATCGTCGGGAAACGGAAAAGAGAAAATGCCATCTCACTCCCTCCATGTTAGAGGAAGATTCCTCTCGAGTGAAGAGACTGACTCCCGTGGATCGAAAACTACTTCGGAGCAGAAAAATAAGAAACGATATTTTAAGAAAACGTATAGGAAGGAAGAGAACTGGAAAACACGGAACATCTGGGAAGAGATTGAAGGCAAGAAAGGTTGGAAGAAGACGATCAAAATCAAAGAGGATGAGAGGGAGTAAAGAAAGAGGAAGTTCTATGAGGAGAAAGGGACGAAGCGGAAGAAGTTCTCGAAGAAGGGGTAGTCGCGGCAGAAAGAAAATAGGGAGTCTGTAGAACGGTAATCTTCACAAATGTGACCGAGAACAGAAAATGGAATTGCTAGATTACTGTAATCTAGTAATCAAACGGCTCTTTTCAGAGCCATGCTTTCATTGGTAAAGGGTAGCCAAATTCATTTTAATAAACAACAATTAGTGCTTTATACAGTATGTTATACATTCAATTCTATTTTAAATCTTGAAACGTTCGGAATGTTTCGAGCGGTTGAAGATTGGCCTTTCGACTATTTAATACTTTAAATTTTATATACTAGCATGTTCAGCAACAATTTTTACTTTTCCGGCTGTTATATATAACAGAGGGGAAGTATGGCAATCGGTCAAAAAATGGTCCCCAAGATTGTTACATTTTTTGACTTATGATACCTTAAACGTCGAGAAATGCAAAAAACTTCGAGAATAATTTTAATTAAACCAATTTAATTAATTTAAGCTTAATAACTCCTGTGCTTTTTGTCGAAAATTTTTGAAATTTTGCAGGGTTTGTTTATTAGGGGATTGATACTACTATATTTTGGTGGTTAAAGGTCGAGGGAGTTGTGAGATAATGAGGATTGTGTGTATCTCAAGTAGGGTCGAACTTAATGACGATTTTACTCGTTATTAGCATTTACAATGTTTTTCCTCTACCTTCAAAATTAAGATTTTTGTCATTTTATAATAGTTAAAAATATAAAAAGTTTTTAAATAAAATATGATAACAGATGGCGCTACCAAAATTTTAAATGTCGCTGGGATGGTTGAGTAACTCTAACGTTTATAATTATATAATTAATTTAATGTATATAACTGTCAGTATAATTTTAACCTAGCCATAAATATAGATACAGAGAGTTCGAATCCTTCGAACTTCCACGTAGGATAAACGGTAGTTATTGGCCACTCGATGGAATTTTTACTTTAAATATACTAGGGCGTAACAGAAAGATTAAATTAGGAAATATTATACTTTCCCCTTCTTTTTTATTGCCTATAGATTACCATTACTATTACTACCGATTATTAGACTACTAGTAGATGAGCCCGGCGTTGTTCGGGCAAAAAGTAACGCTAACAAAGATTAAATCTTATAATTGAGATGGGTTAGAGTCAAATTTATGAGAAATTTCGTTTTCACTATTCTATTTATCGAATATCTAATAGAAAAAACTTTTTAAGATTTATTCAGTTAAAATCATTATTGAATTTTAACTGAATAAATCTTTAGTATTTAAAAAGATTTTTTATTTAAGTGACCTATAAAATAAAGAAATTAGAAAATTTTTCAGTTATAACTTACTTGATGATAACCTTAGCCGAATAAAATAATTTTAAATTCTAAAATTTTAAAAACTTGTTTGGAACATTATATTTCGAATTTTTCGAATTATATTTCGAATTATAAAATATATTCTAAACAATAATTCTATGTTTTTGGGTTACCCGAAGAGTGGAAATGATTCAAATATTTATTAATTGCTAAAATGTGTACTATACGTGCAATTATTTATTTTCCTTTTTTATTATTTACACTTTATACTGCAGTGGCGTGCCGTGACATTTGATAGTAGGGAAGCTGTGTTTCTGTAAGCTTCCAGGGGCAATCGGTTAATTGCGCGTCAGTGATGGTCAAGGGTCCATTCGTATCGTTTGTTCGATAAGCCAGTAAAAACCACAGACTTCTCTAAATGTATTTTTAATATCACAATTACATTCCGAATCGCTAGCCACAATATAAGGGCTAAAATTATAAATAAAATAATAAAAACTTATACGGTGAAATAAAATGTGTGGTGGATGTACAGTACATACCTGGTACAAAATATTCTTCAATTATATTAATATACTTTTAAAGAAGATTATAATTAAATATAGCTATGTAAAGAAACGTACATAAAAATAACATAAAATCTTCTTTACATTTTAAATCTTAAAACAATCCACTTATTCAAATAGCTCCCTACGAGTGACTAATGGATGGAATCAGAGATTGTTCTGGTAGGTGCATGCACACGGGCTGCCAAATCCCGAGGGTACTGATACTGGTCAATGTCAAATGCCTCTTTTGTCGCATCACTAGTATACCTCAAAAGATGCGATAGGGTTCTTGTAAATTTTAAACGTTTCTCACCATAGCTGTAAAAATCTAAATTTGTTGAACTTAATAGTTTGTCCGTCATTTGTTTTCTAACTAATTCGTTTTAGGACCAGGGTCCATGGAAATTTCCAAAATTTATAACTTTTTGGGTACTATCATTGAACTGGAAAAATTTCTTTCTTTATTACATCTAATACAGTAGACCCCCCTATAACGCTTAGATACGTTCCACGCTTACCGAAAATTACGTTGTAGGAATGATTAAATACATGAGCCAATCGCAGCCCGATAGGTGGGAACTTTACGGACTAAGGCTGTTTGAAAGGTTTTCTTCTATAAAATTAACCGATTCTAGACTAATTCCACTCAACATTTCCAAAACACGTATAATTTTTTGGGAGTAATCCGTATAAACTATGCTATAAACAAAAAATTATAGGATTACTTACCGAGTGTGTACCGTTCGACTATGCCGTTGCTTAAAGCTGGTTTTCATTGTGGAACAGCACATGAATCGGCGGACGCGATTTCTAATAAATAATTTTTCTGCAAAAACTTCGTTGAACTTCGGAGACATCATTAATAGAAATAATTTTTATGGCCGTTGAATAAGAAGTGTTTCTTTCACAAGAAATGTATAAAATTAGTGCTGT